CACCCTTTTTTTTTCTTTGACTTTTGTAGGACCAGTTTCAGTGTTGGTGGTGAGGTCTGCTCAGATTTTATGGTCATAGTTAATAATGGTAAACAGGCTATGCCTCACTTTTGATTTCTTCTCCATTATGGATGTATCCAATTGACTGTTACGTATAACAGTTCCAGCACCCCCCCACATGTAGGTATATTCTAACTTCCCTGGGTATACTCTGCTATAGGAGGAATGGAATGGAAAGTGAAGACTTTCAGCAGATTTGGAACTAGGTGCTAATAAGTATCTCCAGGTTATTTTTACCAGGAAAAAAAACCCAAACGATAGTGATTGTAGGTAGTTAGTAACTTTCCATTGTTATTGTTCTGCTATTATTGCTTTTGTTCTATTAAAATGGAACTGAATTTATTTTCTCTTTGAATTAACTTTTTTTTTCATTTTAGAAAGAATTTATAGAATGATAATGAGAAAAAGTCTTCCATGCTTGGATAGGAAGAGAAAGAAATTTTTATTTAACAGATAGATTAGCCAAATTTCAAAGAAAAAATAGCAAAAAACAACTTTAAATCGAGTATTTTTTTAGTAATTGATCTTAGGGAAGTGGTCTCTTGATTGTTGAGAAGATACTTAAATATCTCTGTTTCTACTGCTTGAATATGGATTTGGTAAGTATGGACTAGAACCCACTGAATAAAGTAAATATCAGTAGTCCATACTGACCTAAATAAATAAATGAATAAATAAATAAGTGGGAGAGATGGGACATTCTTCTTTACAGTAGAATTCTAATGAGCAAGTACAGAATGAGTGATGGATAGAGAAAATCGTTATTAAGCAAATAGCACAGTAATAATTATTGTAGGCAAGAATTATCAATAGATACAAAAAGTAGTGGGCAAAGATATGAAGAGAAACAGGATATTTGCAGAATCTCAAAATACCTTCCTACGAGATACTTGTTGATTACATAGGGTGGAGCAACCTGACAGATACCACCTTATTTAACCAAGTTAGAAAGTTAACAGCACCAGTGATGAGACAGGTTGCCCCCGTGTACCCCCTGATCACCCCGTATCACTTCTGCGATCTTTTTGCCAAACATGCACAGTCTCAACCTGATCATCAGGCAAACCCAATTGGAGAACATTGTACAAAATAACTGGCCTGGACTCTTCAAACATGTCAAGGTCGTGAAAGGCAAGCACAGACTGAGGAACTGCCCCAGATTTGAGAAGGCTAAGGAGACATGGGAACTGAATGCTAGGTGGTATTCTCAACTGGATCTTGGACTGAAAAGAAAAAGAAAAAAAAAAGACATTGTGGGACAGTTTGTGAAATTTGAATAAGGCCTGCAGAGTAATTATTTTGTATCAATGAAAATTTCTTTGTTTTTTTTCCTTTTAATTATCTTTTATTATGAAATACACATTTTTTAGAATTAGTTTTAGCTGTACAACACAGTGCAATAGTTATACTTTTTACCCCTCGAAGTGACATCACCCCTCCCCCAATCCGCTGCCCCACTTTCAATGAAAATTTCTTATTTTAATAATTAACTATGGTTATGTAAGGTATTAACATTAGGAGACATAGGGGGGTAGTTAGGAACTCTGTACAATTTTTGCAACTTTTTGTAAGTAAAATTATTTCAAAATAAAAAAGTTAAAAAGGAATGTCCTGGTATGATTTTGAATGTTTTGGAATTTCTCTGTTGGCAGGAAGAGGAGAATTGCATACCACAAGACAGCTCTTATAATCTCTTCTTATTATTCTCTAGGATTTTTGGTTTCACAATCGACTTTAGAGTCCTTTTTTAAAAAATGTTTTTAAACAAGAAGTAGCCCTTTAACCTGTGGCCTGATTCAGCCTTCAATAATCATCTTAAAACATCCCAATTTTATAACTGTGAAAGACCTTAAGCAGTCACGACTTAGTTCCAAATGACAATGGAACCAGGAATTAGTTATACTTTGGATCTTATTTTTTTTTTCTTAAATCTGATCCAGGTTTCTCTTGTCTGAAGCCAAAAGTGTGATAGAAATATTTTGGAAAATTAGCTCTAATCTGTGAAATCCAACAAATGATAAGATCAAGGAGTAGATCTTTTTAAAAATTTATGATATTTATTTTCTCCAGAGTATTTAAGTTCCTTGAGGACAGTTTCTATATCTCCTTCCTCTTTTATATCCGCTGGCTTCCAGCTAGGCTTTACCCATAGTAGACTGTCAGTGCATCTGTGGAGAAGATGCAAGTCTAAGGGGTGGGATGGGGAAGTGAATGGTGTGTCTTGGGAGTTATTTTTATTCCAAAAGTATCAAACAGAGTGAGGAGTGATAGAACTAACTTTTTATGATGACACATTTCAATAGAAAAATTAATTTTCTTTATTAAGCCTTAATTCCATACAAACCTTTAACCTAAAAAATAATAATAAATAGGAGAATCAAAATAGAGTGAAAGACAGAAAAAATTAGAGATCTCTGACCTCCCTGTTGGCAGTGATGTCTCCTCTGATGAAATTTATCTGTAACCTTAAACATCCACCTCTACTGTTGTTGACTTTTTACTGCATTAATTTCTGTCATTTTTCTTATTAGCATTTCATCTGTGTCTAAAATATTTTATCTCCTGTTTGTTTTGTCTTTTATAAACTGTATTTGACTTAGCTGTTACATAAATTGCTAGTCATTGAAATGAGAATTTTTTAGGGGTTGATTTTGAG